TGATAAACACGTTTATTATATTTTGGAAAAGAATAGTAAATAAAAGTGGAGTTATCCATCATCACAATTGAATGAATTGAATTAACTATCACAAGTTAAGGATTGAAATTAAGAATTGATTAGTGGAGTAAAAAATTCAATACATTCAACACATTTAATTTAAACAAGTGTTTATTGCTTTTGTAGTTATAAAACGTAGTTGATACAAACCAATCATATTTTGTTACAATCACGAATTAAAATATATCAAATATACTAGAATTTAGCTTTATTCTCTGTGGAACGATAACTCTTTCATCACGATTATTACTTGTACAACGAACCCATACACTTGTGGGAATATTTTGCGAACACTAACATACATGACGACTCGATATTGATCATAAATCGTATTTCCGTGAAAACGATTAACCACAACAGACCAAAATCTGTACATCATGGTAGTTTTCATGACATGGAGATTTTTCGTGACAGTTTAATATAGTATTAATTAAAAATCCAAAGCATTCATAATTTCTATGACAACAAATATAATTCAACTACTCTATTGAAAAAAATAAAATTCAATTACACTAAGTTTAACAACAATGATGATGATGATGATGATGATGCTGATGATGATAATGCAAATAAATAATTTGACAATTTCTACAATTTACTTAATTATTTCAATTCGCAATTCAAAGATAATTATTGAATGGGTATTTGGCGGAGATTAAAATTAGATTTTTAGTAAATTGTGATAGAAATTTTTGAAATGTGTGGTTGAAAAACTGTGGGACTCATGAAAGATATGTTTAATATTGATTGTTTGACTTTGACTTAGATTAAAATCTGAAACAAACAGGCATGAAATTCTTTCAATAGTATCGTTGATGTAAAAAGATTTATATCCAGACATAATGAACAAAAATACATTAATCTTTAGACTTTTCCTGTGTATATTTCTATACATGAATATATAGAAAAATTAATTAAAAAATAACAAACCCTGTAACTAGATAGAACTTATAAGAGGAATCATGGCCTTTTGAGATTCTTGAAGTCCAAGGAATCAATGCACTCCTCCCTATTCCTATACAAATTCATTAACTTCAACAACTGTGTTGCATTCTCCTTTGTTTTCTCATTTGTACCAACTTGTAAGAGAAGTAACAGCTTCTGAAAAGCTCCTAACTCCACAGCTTCAAAAATCACTCCCCTCTCTTCTCTCTTCTCATTCTTCCCAAGCTTACACATAATCGAAACTGAAAACTCGGTCGATAAATCCGATACGCGTAACAATTTCTTCACTAGAACAGGCATGGTTAGAGCATTATCATAGGCCTTTTCCCTCCCTTCACTAGAATTGCAAATTCCATCCAAGACACCTAATGCCTTCTCACATAAGCTTTTTTCGCATCCAACGAGCGTATCTATCAGAACTTCGACTAACCCTGTATCTACGAATCTTTTAATGACATCGTCTTGATAATTTGGCGTCGACGACGAAACCATATAGTATATGGCTAATAATGAAGCTTTTGTAGTAGTAGGGCAAATGGGCTCTTTCACAAGCTTCACCAAGGCTTCTAGAGCCCCTTCGATCTCGATTAATTCTCCAAATTTTGGTTGATCCGATGAAAGAATTGATCTTAGTGTTAATGCTGCATTTCTTCGTGCCGACAAACTTCCACACCTCAAACACCAGACAATGCAACGTAAGGATGATTTTGATCCAAGAATAAGCTTGGTCTCATCATCAAGGGGTGATATTACTGTCAAAGTAGACATGATTTCCTCCAAGATCGTGACGTTTTTATCGATAGAATCTCTCGAGAAGGCCTCAAACTTGGACGATAAGACCCTCCCGGTGCCATTCGCCATAATGCATCGCTTGTTTCGCTCGCTTTCTTTAGCTAATGACCTTAACTTCACGACGAATTCTAGGCGTTCTTGTTCATCACCGGCCTCAACTTTTGAAAGAATCTCCGAAACCTCGACCGATGTTATTGGGATTCTAGGAGTCGGAATTCTCTCCACACCATAAGACCTTTTCTCCACACACCAATCTTGAATCATTATCCTAATGGCATGATTTGGTATAGGCTCAAGATTTCTCAAGACACGGTTAGTTACGGGACAAGTAGAGTTACCGGCTTCAAACCACGCCTCGATGCTTTCTCGATCGTATGTCATCCCACTAGACAGCGTCACCGGATCCTTCATCAAGTCCAATGATATCGGACAGCGAAAATGGTCAGGGATTTTCAACTCCATGCTCCCATTCTTCTCCAAATCGTGATTTTTCGCAGCACGACGTGCAGCTTTTTTCCTTCTCCACGATGAAAGCATTTGGTGATCACTAAATGAAATGAATCAAAACTCAAGAAATTTATTTATAGCCAAGTCCAATGCCGCTAGGCTTTTCTATGGGATATGATTAGAAATCGGCTAGTCGAGTCGAGAGCTCTTGAAATATTGCTGGGTTTTTCTCAATTTTGATGTTGAGAATGAGAGGTATGTATAATTGTATATGTGTGTATATATATATATATATATATTCTTTGGTACGCGGTTCAACTTTCAATACTTAGGAACATTAATAATTTGGAAATATAATAATATGAATAAGAATAAGAAAGATTTGAATATTGACCATTGAATTTTGAAATGGTAAAAATAAACCAAAGCGTGAGATTGGGAAATAAGATTAGGAACGAGAGTTCTGAAAAAAATCAGTCAATCAAAGGCTTTGACGAGAGGCGGTCAATGGGTCGGTACCCTCTCACCGGGTCCAACATAAAAACTTCTTCGATATGACTCAAAAGTAGAAATTAAATTAATTTTATTCAAAATATAATGGCACGTTACGAATATTTGACTTAAATACAAGTATTGCAGTCCGTTCGGGTGTGACTCATTTTATCAAATGTTGGAATTTTTCTCAAAGAAATTTTCAAGAACGTTATTAAGGATTTTATCGAAAATTTATGGTAACTTGAATAATATGGATATTATTTGAAAATGAGTAGTTCAGAGAGAATCGAGATTGGGATTGGGGCATTCGTGTGCGAACACGAGAGTGCACGCCACCCTCTCAGGTGACTGGCTGTTTCTTTGTCGAAGATGCAACATTTATCTCGTCATGAAGGTGGCATACTTCTTTAAAGATTTTATAACACCTGTACTAATACGAAAGAGAATCCGTGAGTTTGCACCAGAGAAAGCCAATTTTAGATAGGAAAGGTGGAATATGTGCTTCGATAAGTTCACGTCTTTGACGTCTCTTGTCAAATGAATCTTTTCTTTTTGATATTTGAAAGTTTTGTTATATATTTCACTTTGTTGTTAGAATTGGCAATGCTGTGATATGTTATCTAACATCATTTTATGTGGTATCATGTAACATGTTCAATTAAATGCGAAATTATGTAAATCATTTAATTGAACATGTCGTTTAATGCTACTAATACTGCCATCTAGATTTGTGTTAAACACCAATGATGCTCAATAACACTATTAGTTGGCTTAAGTTGTGTTGAGTCTATATGTAAAGTTTATTGTGTGTGTAATTTGCGGCGATATTTATTAAAAACATATTGGTTCTCAAAAAAAAAAAAAAAAAATTCCTATCTAAAATGTGAAAAGATAATCCTATGTATGGGGATAATGGGAAATCGTCTTCTCTTTAACCGGTTCAAAATACCATCGAAATAAAACTCACAACAGATAAAATTTTATTCATAAATCTCTAATAATGATAATTAAATCCTACGACAAGACTAACGACTTGTCTGTCACGCTGAAACCACTTATGTACATCGGAGGGAGTGTGCCGAAATACTCTACACCCTTTTTTGCAAATACTATTAAGGAGAAAAGAATACGAAGTAAAGAAGTAAATTTTAACCAAAAAAGTTCGTTAAACGAACATTACAAGAAGAGAAACAAGGAATCGTTTTTTAAACGTTCTATCAAATCCTATTCAAATTAAAATATCGAAACATATTAAATTGCCCTAATTATACTATACAATACATTACACGTCATCTTTAAAAGACTTTCAAATCTTTAATTTCTTGTACAAATTTTTAATTTTTATTGTTAGAAAAATAAATTATTTTGCAGTGGAAACATCAATATATTTGCGTGTGTACACGGTACCGTCGTGGGGAAGCAGGTACGCGGACCTAACGCGCAAAGCATATGTGGATTTGCAACTCTTTATTCTGCGCGTTGACAGGATATCCTATAATGCATGAAACCTTAACACAACGCGTCAGTAGTAAATAAAGACCATTTCTTTAATAATTTCAGTTAAATATATTGGTCCTTACAGTTATGACAGTATTTCAAGTTGGTCCTTAAAGTTTATTTTATTCGAAATCGGTCACAAATATTTTTAACGGTTTAAATATGATTACTTTGTTGGTGAGATTAATCTCAAATCCTACATGTACGCTGTCAATGATGTTATGTAATAACTGAATGTTAATCCATTGCCACCCAATCCTTAATAATCATGCTAAAGGGGTGTTTTGTGGGGATTAAAATTAGATTTTTAGTGGATTGTGATAGAAATTTTTGAAATGTGCGGTTGAAAAGTTGTGGAACCCATGAAAGATGTGGTTGATATTGATTGTTTGACTTTTACTTCGATTAAAATCAGATTTTAATCCGGCTCAAACATGCTCTAAATATTGAGATCATGAAAACTTAAATTTCATATCTGTTGACAAATAGTAAAATCATATTTGAATAAGGCGTGAAATATGCTAATCACAATATTCCATTGCACATTTAAGCTCCGTTGGCTTGCAATGACAATCGTTCAAGGGGATCCAACATTCGTTTGCAATTCGATAGTTAAATAAGTTGTTAGAAAAATAAGAACAATTATGCAACAAAACAACATGGATAGAGATTAGGTTAGGGGTTTGATTTTTCATACATTGTGTTTCACAATGCACATAGTATTTACTATTTATTGGAAAACTAAGGTCGAAGGTGTTTCAGACCTTTTAACTTATTTGGACTTTGTTGCTTCATCATTGGTGATGTTTTTGTCTATAATCAATTCTTGTTTGATTCTCTTTTGTACTTTTTAGCGGTTTCAGCCTACATAGGAATGGACCTTTTGCAATGTAACAAAAAGGATAATCCGTTGTTCCTGCATTTGGAGCTAGAAATATGTCGTCACTCGTCACGTGATATATAATTTACTTAATATGAGATATAGGGAAATTCTTCAAGCAAATCACTATGCATGGTTTCGCCACTAGGGATGGCGATGCCGAGGTCCATCTTTTCTTACACAGTCAAGAGGTTTGCCTTCGCTAGACGATGAACACCCTTGATGAATCCGTCCTTGTCGGGATGAGATATTTAACTTCCAACGTTAGGGAGGTACAAAAGAAGCTTACACAGTTCTAGACATAGTTACATGGATTGTATATGACACGTGTTCTTTTTGTCTCACGTGGCACCCACTTGGGGCGAAGTGGTAACAAACTCAATTGGATCCCTTTGTCAATTCTATTTTAGGATGATTTAGGCTTGCGCGACTATGAAATTAAATGTTTTGTTAATAGATAGTGGTGTTAACAACCTACATGTGGAAGTTATTTTTCTCATTAACATTGTCATCAGAGTGGAACTGTTAAAAATAATTTTGGGACTGATTTGGCAAAAATAAAAAAAGAAGTTTTAAGAATAAACTTTGATTTACGAAATATTTAACCCTTAGCCTCGGTTTGGTCTAGCTAAAAAATCTAATTAAAATTTAAGACAAAGTCAACAACTACACACAACAACGTATTTCATAAGATCCACAACTTTTCAACCTTGCATTCCATCAACTTTTATAAAAAAAAATACTAAAAACTGATTTTTATTTAAACCAAACAGAAGCTTAACAAATTAGTTGTGAACAAATAAATAATTATCAATACAAGCACAAAATCCATGCAAAATTAATGGATATAGTTTGTGTTATTATTCAAATCCACTGCAACACGTTTGCAAAACTATTATTTGATTGGTCTTCTAAATTATAAGTTACTTATTTTTAAGTGAATTTGAGAAGTTTTTACTTTTTACTTCTCTTTGTAATGTTTGGGATTTATTTTCATAAGTGTCCAAAGTAAAAGGGTTTCAATTGCAAATAAGAAGTATAATACATATTATGGTCATCACAATTTACCTTTTCGAATTGTCCTATTTGGAACTTGGAAGAAAATAATTTTGGCAAAAATTCTTGTATGTGAGCCGAATTTGAAAAGGGAAGGAATTTGGTACAATCATTCATTACTATTCTAGAACACGTTGTTTATTTTTTTATCAGAAGGAACCCTTAATAAATGTTCAAATATATGTGGTCGTCGGTAATGTTTTCTAGAATTACGTCAAATTACCAATCCTACCCTCATTTCCGTTGCTAAACAATCGTAATTTCTCTGGCAAAAATGTAACTTTCCAAGCTTGCTCTCTCTTGTTCTGCAACTACACTTTCTTTTTTTCTACACACGATAAAACATATACATTCTTCGTCATTCATACATTCTTAGTCGATAGAAGACAAGTCAAAAAATAAATCCTGCGTTTGGTGAAAAGAGAGAGTTACAAAAAACGCATGCATCTATTCTTTGTCTGAAAAGCAGGCAATATGGAATGTCTGAATGTCATCTGAGGAGTTCTTTGAAAAATTATGATAAGGACGCCTGACCGGAGGTAATAACAAAGCTTCCTGTTTGTCCATCACCAGCACCCGCTTACATTTGCTGCAAACTTTAGTGAATAAACTCCGGTAACTGCAAATCCACTCCTACAATAACAGAAAATAATGCTTACAGCTTCTCTGCTTTAACTCTTCCAATTAGAAAATGACTAAACATATCCTTGAGTTCTCGGAGAATACCAATAAAAGATGCAAGGCCGCTTCAGGTTTCACACTCACAAAATACTGCAGAGCCATAGAAGCGTGTTGCTGCATTTGTCCAATGCCAACGATATGATAAGTTTAATGTAAATCCACTAAACGAGGCAAAAAAACTTGAGGCATTAAAAAGATATTACCGTGACATGCCTAAATACATGATGTACTGAAAAACCCCTTGCATGCATATGGCTTCCGCCCTTCATACACAGAAAAAGCGTCAACATATCAAATGCATAATTTATATGGAAGTCGTATGACAAAGGAATAGGGATTTCTTACTCATCTTTTACTCCCCTTCTGTAGCCCATTAACAAATTTTGCTATAATTTAATGAAGATTAAATTGGACCAAGATAATAGAATGATGAACACAAATATGATAGGTTTCTGCCATTCAGTCTACTACATGATGACAGTTTCAAAAGGACTAGAATACTTCAGTTACAAGCCTCACCTAAATTTATATGGCGATGAAACAAGTATAAATATAAGATGGAGAACTCACAATCGAGTACAAATAAAATAAATTGAATATTTGATATCGCACTGGTGCTTATAATCTTTTAACTGTATCAACAATCTCTCAATGGTAATAATCTTTTTAGAGCTTCCAAAATCTTGGGACAAGAATTAGTTTTAGTTCTTGGAAGAGAAACATAACTACATATTAAAAAACTAAAACAAATCTTGCTCAAACATTGTGCCAAAGAAGAAAATAAGTTACTTATTTTGACAGTATCCACTCCCTTATTGGGAAAATAAGTAACTTATTTCTTTTGAGTTAAAGAAAAGATAATTATACACACACATAAACATGTTTAGATTGAAAATTTAATCACGAGCATGACTTGTAAACTTATTCAAACAGTCAACATCAAATTCAGGAAGCAATTCAGCTTCTCAGATGCTAAGGTTTCTGATATACAAGAACGATAAACTAAGCCTTGGGTTCCAAACCTTCACCTTACCTCTATTAAGACCTTTTCAACTCAAAAGATGCTAAGGCTATTTATGGTAGGTATTTTCGGAAGGAAAGACTTCGTTTACTTCCAGCAAATTGCTT